TATATATATATATAGATAGATAGATAGATAGATAGATAGATAGATAGATAGATAAGCTTACTGGAGTCCCTGGGTAGTGCAAATGGTTAATGTGCTTGGCTGCTAACTGAAAAGTTGGAAGTTCTAGTCCACCCAGAGGCACCTTGGAAGGAAAGTTCTGGAAATGCACTTCCAAAACCAGCCACCGAAAGTTCTGTGGAGTCCTGTCCTACACATGGGCCTGCCATGAGTGGGTTTTGTTTCTTAAAGAACTAACTAAAACAAGAGCTGCCCTGTGGTGGGTGGGTTTTGGAAGAGAGTGACTTTCTTGTCATGGCAGATGGTTCAGTGGAGGTTGGCAGTCCACTAGGCACTGTCTTTAGAGGAGACCAAGCATCCTGAGGTCTTATGATTGCAAGACACTGGCAGGCTCACACAGTTCAGGGAGTCTCAAGTTGCACTCAGGGAACTAACCTCATCTGTGTTTGCTCTCCCTACTACTGCTCAGATTTCTTTCCTTCTAGATGCCATCTTCACTATCCGAAGATATGGTGTTGAGGTGACATGTAATAAACAAGAAATGAGCAGCTCTTGAGTAACAAAAATTTTTGACTCAAACATTTTTTGGAGCATATCCCACTCTAATTTCTCTGTACCTCTGCTTGAGAACCTCTGAGCTACCAAACCTCTGGGAACCAAACGAAACAGAACTTTCAGAGTAGAATCACTGCATCCCTCAGCAGAGAACACAGCACCATCTTAGTGCATAATGGAAAGCTTCAAGAAAATCATAACATCCCGAGGGAAAATTTATTCCCAACCACGCTTGTAAATTCTCTACCTCATAATTAAGAATTAAAGTGCTTATTATAAAATCATGGGGAATATTCAAAGAGCTTTAAGTTTAGAAAAAATCATAAATTTGGGGGAAAGCTGTTTAAAATTTTTTGAGCATATTTTTTACTAAGTCAGATTTTTAAAAATGGTTAAATCTCAAAGGAAACGGAATTTGTGTCTACCGAATGTACTCATGCTTAATGTAGTAATGATGCCGAAGGCTCTGTTATTGCCAAATATCCACATACAATCCCTTATTTTGTCTTTTCAGTGGATTCCTTTGGTTTAGCAAGGCACTTTCTACCAAGAGTAAAACTGAAATAACCAAACCCATTGCCCTTGAGTCTGTTTCAACTTAGAGTCACCCTACAGGCTGGAGTAGACTGCTCTTTAGGGTTTTCGAGACGATACATCTTTATAGGAGCAGACAGCCTCATCTTCCTTCTGTGGAGCGATGGGTGGGTTTGAACCTCCAACCCTGTGGTTTGCAGCCTAATGCTTGGCCCACTATACCACCAGCCAGCTTCAAAACTTGGACTGTTTGTATTCATGTGAGCATGTAGTAAAAACAGTTTTTTATATTTTTATGTTTATATTGGGGAACATAGCTGTTCTGTAGGATAAGCACTGGATTATGAACTACAAGGTTGGCAGTTTAAACCCACCAGACATTCCATGGGAGAAAGAGAGATTTTCTGCTCCTGCAAAGATTTACAGCCTCAGAAACCCTGTACATGGTTGAAATGAGTCGGAACTGACTAGATGGCACTTAACAAAAACAATGTTTTATATTATAAGTTCAAATATTTGTCCTAAAGGATAACACAAAAGAATATTGAAACTAACTTCCTCTATGTACAGGAAACTGGAGAAGATAAAGTGGGGGAGGAATGGAAAAGTTACATTTCTATGCTGTTAATTTATTTTTATATTATACATTGAAAAAACATTTTCTAGGGGTTGTGTTTCTAGGTAGTAGAATTACAAACTATTTTGGTTTTCTTCTTTGCCATTTGTATACTAAAAAATTAATAGCAATAAATGTTGCTAAAAATCAACTCATAAAAAAATTATACGGTTACTTTAAAAATATGACCAAATCTGAAATTAGCCAACATTTTATTCTAATTATTCTCACCTATTGGAAATCAATCTATTTTTTTTTTTTTTCATAAAAGAAAATGGTAACAAATTATTAACACTTTGGTTTCAGCCTCAGTAATCATCCCATCATTCAAAGGGAGTAAGGGAATCACTAATTGATGTGGAAGAAGAAAGTCTACCTTGTTTGGGTTTATGTTTAAAAAGACCAGAACGATTCATTTTCAATACATACCTCTAACTCACCATCCTGATAATTCTCCATTAATCTTTGTATAAAGTTTTCAACTATTTGTGGTCTTACAACTGGAAAGTTTTCTTTCATGACTTGGTGTTTCCAAAGTTCTAGGGAGGAAAATATAACAAAACAAATACACTGCTATGAAACAGTGAACAACCATTAATGACTATGAAAACTCTCTGAGACAACACTGGACACAATAAACTATCATTTCCAAATACACAATTGATGTGTGAGATTTAAGGAAGGCTGTGGTAGAGGACCCACAACCCTCTGGGTCAGATTTAAGACACAAAATTCTTTTTTTTAAAAAAATGCTTTATTGTGAATTATGTGATAGTTTATAGGGGAGAACATTAGCTTTACATTCATCCTATTGAATATTGTTTTATTGCCATGGTTACAATCCCCTCCATGCATCATCAACCAACCAAAGGGTACACCCTGCAAGCCTGCCCCTTGGTTGTAAGCACACAGCCCCTCTCCCTCTCTGGGTCTAGAGTCCCCAGCAGCTCCATCTCTCCATGTCATCATCTCTGCCTCCATCTCTGGTGTCACTGTTTCTCTGGGTAGGATCCCACACTCCGCTCTTCTCCCTTGATGGTCCCAGGGACCTCTGCTCCTGGACTGCAAAGTCAACCACTCCCGTCCTTTTGCTATAAAATGTCTACCTTTACATTTCCAACCCTCACAGTCAGTTCTGATAGCAATTATTCACTATTGTACCACATAAGTACTATACCCATCTCCTTTCATCAGTCCTGCTCAGACAGATTAGATACTACTCAGTGGAGATTTTACCTTTCTCCGTGCCCTCTGGATCTAGGCTCCCTCTTGAAAGCTTGTAAGCCCATCACTTCTTGCTTTTGTAGCCCCCCATTTTGGGTATCCAATATCCAAGTTGCCCATCCCTGTCTACCCTGTGTATCGAGTGGGTGGGAATGATCCTCCCTGTAAATATTTGTTCCCTCTTTTGAGCTACTCCCTCCATAGGTGTAGGTCA